ATAGGTCTAATCATTTCAGCAAAGCGCTCAAAATCCTCATCATCCTTTTTCTTGGATGGTTTGGGAGGAAAAGGTATGGGTTTCTGAACCCATGGTTCTCTTTCTTTACCATGTTTCCTAGCAACAAAATATTTCTTATCATAACGTCGATTCTTTGATTGTGGGTTATCAAGATCAACAACATGTTCAATTTCTATATCATTATCATTACTAGGTTGAGCATCATTATGAACATTATTATTAACATTCACTAGTTTCAGGTTCATTACCAGATTGTGTTTCAGCATCAGAGATAGCAATATCATTTGGATTCTCAGGTGTTTCAGTAACAGGTTCACTAGAAGCATGCAAAGTCCTATCATCTTTCTTTTTCTTCTTTTTAGAAGGACTAGGTGCATCTACATTATTTCTCTGAGAATCTTGCTCAATTCTCTTAGGATGGCCTTCAGGATACAAAGGTTCCTGAGTCATTTTACCAGTTCTAGTAGCCACTCTAACTGCATTATAATTATCCTTACTATTCAATTCATTGAGCAAATCATTTTGAGCTTTAAGTACTTGTTCTACTTGAGTGGTAACCATAGAAGCATGTTTACTAATATGTTTAAGTTCACCTTTGACATTGGCCATATAATCACCCAAGTGTTCAAGCATATTTGAATTGTATTTCAATTGTCTACCAAAATAAGCATTAAAGTCTTCTTGCTTAGCCATAAATTTATCAAACTCATCTAAGCATGGGCTAGCAAACTTAGTAAATGGGATTTCAGCTTTATCATATCTATAGAGAGAATTTACCTTTACTACCTGTGTCGGGTTATCAAGACCATGAGTTTCTTCAATTAGTGATGGATCAAGATCATATGTTCCTTCAATAGGCGGTAAATTAAGACCGTGTATTTCTTCAATAGGAGGTAATTCTTAACATCTTCAGCTTTAATACCCTTTTCTTTCATAGATCTCTTTGCCTCTTGCATATCTTCAGGACTAAGAAATAGAATACCCCTCTTCTTCGGAGTTGGTTTAGGAATAGGCTCAGGAATTGGCTCCGGAGGTGTCCAATTATTTTCATTTGTCAACAAATTATTTAATAGAATTTCAGCTTCATCCGGTGTTCTTTCCTTGAAAACAGAACCAGCACAACTATCCAGGTAATCTCTGGAGGCATCGGTTAGTCCATTATAAAAGATATCAAGTATTTCATTTTTCTTAAGAGGATGATCAGGCAAAGCATTAAGTAATTGGACAAGCCTCCCCCAAGATTGTGGGAGACTCTCTTCTTTAATTTGCATAAAATTATATATATCCCTCAAAGCAGCTTATTTCCTATGAGCAGGGAAATATTTAGCAGGGAAGTAATAAATCATATCTTGGGGACTACGCACACAACCAGGATCAAGAGAATTAAACCATATCTTAGCATCACCCTTTAATGAGAACGGAAATATTTTAAGGATATAAAAGTAACGAGTTCTCTCATCGATCGTGAATAGGGTGGCTATATCATTTAATTTAGTAAGATGTGCCACAACAGTTTCAGATTCATAACCGTGAAAAGGATCAGATTCAACCAAAGTAATTATATCAGGATCAACAGAGAATTCATAATCCTTATCGGTAACACAGGTAGGTGAAGTAGCAAAAGCAGGGTCAGGTTTCATCCTAGCATTTAGAGATTGCTTGTTCCATTTAGCTAATAACCTCTTAAGTTCGTATCTATCTTTGCAAGCTAAAATAGCTAAAGAGGCTTCTTGATCAAAAACATAACCCTCAGGAATAAGAGGCAAGTCTTCATCATCAATTTCACCAGTATTATCAGATTCAATATTTTCAATCTCTCTAGCCCTAGCAAGTTGTTCATCAAGAAATTCACCAAGTGGCACAGTAGTATCAAGCATAGAAATAGTTTCATCATAAGTATCATGTATAGCAGAAGTGGCATCATCAATAACATGCGACATATCAGAACGAATAGCAGAAGCAGTTTTAGGTGTCGCAAGCTTACTCAAAACAGAAGGTGAATCAAGTGCAGAGCTAGATGGCAGTTCCTTACCTCCCCTCGTAGTTGAGGGATAAATCTTGGTTTTTGGATCTTTCAATTTCTTCATAATGATAAACAGATATAAATCCCAAGTGACTCAAAGAATAGAGCTATGCTCCCCGGCAACGGCGCCAGAAAATAGTCTTGATAACGCACAAGTATAGGGGATCGCAACAGTTTTCGAGGGTAAAGTATTCAACCCAAATTTATTGATTCGACACAAGGGGAGCCAAATAATACTCTCAAGTATTAGCAGCTGAGCTGTCAATTCAACCAGACCTGGAAACTTAATATATGCAGCAAAGTATTTAGTAGCAAAGTAATATGATAGTAGTGGTAACGGTAGCAAAAGGTAACCGTAGTAAAAGCAATGTTTTTGGTATTTTGTAGTGGTGATAGCAATAACAACGGAAAAGTAAATAAGCGAGGAACAATGTATGGAAAGCTCGTAGGCAATGGATCGGTGATGGAGAATTATGCCGGATGCGGTTCATCATGTAACAGTCATAACCTAGGGTGACATAGAACTAGCTCCAGTTCATTGATATAATGTAGGCTTGTATTCCGAACATAGTCATACGTGCTTATGGAAAAGAACTTGCATGGCATCTTTTGTCCTACCCTCCCGTGGCAGCGGGGTCCTTACGAAAACTAAGGGATATTAAGGCCTCCTTTTAATAGAGTACCGGAACAAAGCATTAACACATGGTGAATACATGAACTCCTCAAACTACGGTCATCACCGGTAAGTATCCCGATTATTGTCACTTCGGGGTTAACGGATCATAACACATAATAGGTGACTATAGACTTGCAAGATAGGATCAAGAACACTCATATATTGATGAAAACATAATAGGTTCAGATCTGAAATCATGGCACTCGGGCCCTAGTGACAAGCATTAAGCATAGCAAAGTCATAGCAACATCAATCTCAAAACATAGTGGATACTAGGGATCAAACCCTAGCAAACCTAACTCGATTACATGATAGATCACATCCAACCCATCACCGTCCAGCAAGCCTACGATGGAATTACTCACGCACGACGGTGAGCATCATGAAATTGGTGATGAAGGATGGTTGATGATGACGATGCCGACGGATTCCCCTCTCCGGAGCCCGAACGAATTCCAGATCAGCCCTCACGAGAGGTTTTAGGGCTTGGCGGCGGCTCCGCATCGTAAAACGCGATGAATTCTTCTCTCTGATTTTTCTCTCCCCGAAACACAATATAGAGTTGGAGTCGGAGAGGCACCAGGGGCCCACGAGGTAGGGGGGCGCGCCCCCCATCCTCGTGGACAGGTGGTGGCCCCCCTGGCCTTCATCTTTTGCAGGTATTTTTTATATTTTCCAAAAAGTTGCTCCGTGAAGTTTCAGGTCATTCCGAGAACGTTTGTTTCTGCACATAAATAACACCATGGTAATTATGCTGAAAACAACGTCAGTCCGGATTAGTTCCATTCAAATCATGCAAGTTAGAGTCCAAAACAAGGGCAAAAGTGTTTGAAAAAGTAGATACGACGGAGACGTATCACGCCTCAACCGGCCACGTTCGCAGATGAATTTCTCGGATGCTCGGACGCACCAGCAGGTGCAGGACCTCGCGCCTCCGCCGCTGCTAATCACCGACAAGGACCGCCACATCCAGCGTAGGCGGGAGCGCCGCCTCGTCATGCCGAGGTGGACAAGGATGCCATGGCGGAGTGGCACCAACGTTTCCCGGAGGATGTCGCCGCCGAGAACGACTTCTGCACTGCGAGCCGTGGAACGGGCAGACAGGCGTGCGTGGAAGGCACTGGCGATACCGTAGTGCGAACTGGGATTGGCGTCGACCTTTGACGACAATGATCCTCTGTGGGATGACACGTTCCTATCATCGGACTACACCACCGAGGAGGAGGACGATAATGAGTAGTTTCTAGTATATTTGCATCATAAGTATCGTTTTTATCTATTTTTATTTGTACCGTATGTACTAGTTTGTGGTACTGGGCTTGAACTATGTTATTTGAATTTTATCTATATGCTATTCGCATGTGTTGCATGGTAGTATCGGTTGCTGGCGCGCGCCGTTTTTTGCAGCGTCTGCTGAAGCTGCTCACGCGCGCCATTTTTTACAGTGGCCACCGGAGCCAGCGCTCTGCTGCACATAAAAAAAAATACTATTTCAACGGTGTAAAAATTATTTTGCGCCTGTTGAAGATGCTCTTTAAGCCCTTGTCTTCTTCTCTGACCGCGGCAACCCTCCAGCAGTTACCAGCAAGCCACCCCTGAATCGAACCTCCCTCGGACAACGGCGAGAAAGAGAGGCGGCTAGGTTTTCACGATCGCCTTTGCCCTCTTTTCGTAGCTGCGCTTGACATTCCATTAAACCAACCGGACACCGTTAAAGATCGTCCACAGGGAGAAACAAAAGCCACGGAGGATTTACTAGGAGGATCCACGGTGAGGGGCGCCCACTGCGTGTTCTTCAAGTTACACTTACTGCATTGTGAAATGCTAAGAACAGAGTCGAGGAAGGCAAGCTAACGCTCAAGAATCCGTTTCGCTTTATATTTTCGTGTTTCTCAAAGGCATATTTGGTTGTTACTCTCATGAGATGTATCCCCGAACCCACAGTGTTTGCCTGTTTTTACCTGTTCCCAACGTAAGTATTTTTGACGGGAGGAGACGGATAAATGTTGCTTGCCAAGAACCATCAGGTAATCCAACCTCTATAGATTCGAAAACAAGGATTACTACACCCTTGATCCATCAGTTCAACCATACGACCAGGAATTCAGTTCTGCAACTGCAACAGAGGCAGATGAACACAGCTGAGCTAACTACACTACCTCTCTTCGCCTTCTATGCCGACATGCCGTCGACTACTAGCATCTCTGCCTTCCGCTCATCTCTCGCACACATGACATGGCTACCAAGAAGTCTCCTTGGACAGGAGAGCGGTCCGAGACATCACACGCGCACGGATCCAATGGAGAAGACGAAGCCAGCGAACTGCGGCGGTGGGCGCACCACGGTCCAGCTCTTGGACTTGACGTCGAACACCCACAGCGCGTGCCCGGTGCCTCCGCCCTCGGACTCGATGGCGCCGGTCACCACCACGCGCTCGCCGCCGCCGACGGCGACCGCGCGCGCAGTGCCGGCCTTGAGCCCCGGCGGGGACGGCCCGACCTCGCGCCAGCTGCGCCGCTCCCCGCGGTACTCCATCACGGCCGTGCCCTCGATGCACCACACCCGGCCGCGCACCACCACGTGCGCCGCCGACGGCGGCGCGCGCACGCGCTCCAGCCGGCGCCACTCGCGGGACGCCGGGTCGAACCACTCGGCGTCGCGCTCGAACCCGCCCTGGCGGCCCGTGCGGTACCCGCTCACAGCCAGGAACCGGTCGCCGGCGACGGTGGCCATGCCGTCGCACTCGTCGCGCTCCTCGGACATGTCCGGGAGCGGGTCCCAGGCGTCGGCGCCCGCGTCGTACGCCTCCGCCGTCTTCAGCGCGTTCTTGAGCTTGTCGTGGCCTCCCGCGACGTAGATCTTGCCGCCGGCCTCGGCGCAGGCGAAGAAGGACCGCGCCGACCGCATGGGCGCGCCGCGGCGCCACACGCCGGTGGAGGCGTCGAGCACGTGCACGTCCGCCACGGGCTCGAAGGTCTCGGGGTCCCACCCGCCCAGCACGGCGAGGCGGCTCCCCACGGCCGCGCACTGCGCGAACATCGGCACGGGCGGCGCGGCGCCCTCCCGGCGCCACTCGCCGGTGGTGACGTTGTACACCGACACGCCGTACGCCTGGGCGTTCTCCGGCGCGGCCCCATCCGCGTCCGCGGCCGCCGGGTTCCCGAACTGCAGCAGGTAGACCAGGTCCTCGTTGGCGCCGGCCTCGGCGCGCGCCAGCGCGAAGTCCGGCGCGGCGGCGGCGGTGTTCCAGCCGCGGCAGACGCCCCGCATCGAGCGGAAGGAGGCGTGCGGGACGCGCGCCAGGCAGTCGACGGCGACGTCGTCCGGCATGCCCGGGATGAGGTCGACGTGCTCGACCTTGCACTCCTGGACACGGCTCTTCTGGTTCCTCATCTTCGTTATCTCTGGGATTGGGATCGGGGTTGGGAATGGAGATGGATGGCTCTCCGGCTCGGCGGAAGGGTGGCATTAAATAGAGCGCTGGGGGTGGCACGTGGCGCGGCGTGATTGGAGCTGAGGACACATCGAAAGGTTTATTGAAGAAAAGAAAATTCAGTGCACTGGCGCCAGTCGAAATGCAGTTCACCGCGCACCGACGACAGCACCGACTGCGACCGATCTCTGTCGTGGCTTCTTCGCTTGCTTATTCTTTGCTACGATCGAACCTTTTGTTTTAAATACGCATTTTGCTCGTAACGCATTTTCATATAAAATTCGAAGCATCTTTATAAGTATTTCGCAAAGCAACAGCCGAGCGAAACCCTAGACCACGCGCCTGCGTCCTCCATTTTCCATCTACGCCGGTGTAGCAGATGGGAGAGGGAGTAGTCTTGGGTCTCCCAAGCGTGTGTACTTTTGATTTTTTTTTGTCATTTAATTTTTGCTATTAGAGTAATTCTGGCAAATCTCCATAAGTACTGAATTCCCGTAATAACCTTCCGGTTGGCATTTGAGATTCCAAAAGCAGGTCCAACAAAAGCACGGAATTCATGCAAATACGCCAAATTCAGCCACGTTTACCGCTGGAACGCGGCCATTCCGGGTATAAATCGGTCCACTCTTGCTTAGCGGTGCCACCTCTCACACATCTCCTCTTTTTGCGGGCGTCACTTCTCCCTCATCTTCCCCATCGCCGCCACACTCACCCCACATCGGTCATGTCACAGCGGGCGAGCCTTTCCCGCAAGGCTTTTCCCAGCGAGACTAAAGAAGATCACGCCAGGAGAAAGTTTCGGGAGAGGATGTGGAAACGGTTTGAGTGGGTCGAGAAGGAGGCACCCCACAAGGCTGAATCAGCCGTTGGGCCGAAGCGCCTCCCAACCACCTATTACTACCTTTTCTGCATGACGACGACCGCCTTGGCAGAGAGGGAAGCTACGCTCACGGAGGGCTGCCGTTATGGTCGTTGTGGCCTTCTCACGTATCAAGGATGTCATGTGTTCGTAAACCACCGCAATGGAAGAAGCCGAAGCATGCTTCATTTGAGAGTTCACTTCCAAACGAAGGAATATGCCGTCAATAAGTTAGCAGTAGTCTCGTTGTTCAAATCATACTAGGAATCTTTATTGAAATCCTTGTTAAAATATAGTTCAAAGTTTTTTCAATTGTTATTGGGTGAGATGGAGAAGATATAATTCTTGATAGCGAATGACAAACGGGTCCCACCGGGAGATTTTTTGTGTAGGCTCAATATATGGCAGTTATGTGTTTGTGCACAACATTGCCAGCCTCCAGAACATTATTGTGTGTGTTCGATATGCATTATGGCGACTCTGCTAGAATTGTTCTTAGCGGCTATATGCCAACCGTCGGTGTCGTGTTGTGAATTAATGGTCCTCCATCCTTGTGTGACATTCATGGTTGATGTCTAGAAGCTAGTGGTGTCTTAGTTTCTCTAGTTCCACTCCATTTTGGCCATGGCCTTCTCCTTCGACGTTACTTGAGTTTTGAAATCTCAGTTCCTTCGGCGACTGGGTGATGAAGCAGTGCATAGCAAAGCTTATGACATGTATGTCCCTAGTCACAATGCGTTTTACATCATCAGATTTTTTATAATCCTCACCACTTATGGAGGGCGTCTTGTGCAACTATGAAATTTTCTAAGGTTAGTCAAGCTTATGCAAATATAACCTTCTATTAGTTCTTTACTGGTGCAAGAAAGAGCACCGACATGAGATTGATAACTAGAGATGGCGTCTTCAAAATGTTTTGATGGAACTTTAGAGTATGGCAACGTTTATTTGCTCGTCAGATTTATTCCAATTTCTTTTGTCATGATGTAACATCTTCTCTAAACTAAGTAAGTCAGATTTTTGGCCTAAAAAAGTTGAAACATCGCCGGGGTGGGCTTTACGCCAACATAAAATGCGTTTACATATCTACCACTGTCAAAAGTGAAAGTAAACAAAAACTCTTCATACTCCTATCCGCCATCCATGTGTTGTTATCCCGGGAAAACATCCAAATTGTTGTTTGCTTTTCTCTCTTTATCGAATGTAATGAGCATAATTAACCCCTCTGGTTTCATTTGCACCAATTTGATAAATCAAGCATCCGCAAGGTCTGCGATAACTCCAGTGTGGGTATACATCCTGCCCTAACATCAAAATGGTTCTTAGTACAGTTTTAGAAGAATAATCAGAAGGAAACATATTGGAGATGTTAGAAGTACTCTAGGCAGGCTCTTCTCCTTGATCATATAAACAAATAGAAAGTCACACTTCATGATGTTAGAATATCTATTCGCATCTCCTCCAACCCCCACTTGTTTTTACCCAGCAATTATCCTTACCAACGCGCCCAACCCTATCTTGTATGAAACAACTCAAAAGTAAATGATGCAGATTTCTTGCCCATTGGCGATATTGTATTAAAGTTTTTTTATTATGTAACTCGGAGAAATATGCTAACCAATAAGAAATTTGTGACATAATGATAGTAGGATAATAAAGTGATACATTCTAGAACAAGGTGCATTTATAACCTTCCATAAAGACCATTACACACCTACATCCACCAATAAAATCACATACCCAATTACAAAACTTTGAGACCGATAATATATTTATCTTGACCCAACACACATTTCACTACATCCCAGGCATATATAGAAATTGAAGGAAATATGCCCTAGAGGCAATAATAAAGTTATTATTTATTTTCTTATATCATGATAAATGTTTATTATTCATGCTAGAATTTTATTAACCGGAAACATAATACATGTGTGAATACATAGACAAAAACAGAGAGTCACTAGTATGCCTCTACTTGACTAGCTCGTTGATCAAAGATAGTTATGTTTCCTAACCATAGACATGAGTTGTCATTTGATTAACGGGATCACATCATTAGGAGAATGATGTGATTGACTTGACCCATTCCGTTAGCTTAGCACTTGATCGTTTAGTTTATTGCTATTGCTTTCTTCATAACTTATACATGTTCCTATGACTATGAGATTATGCAACTCCTGTTTACCGGAGGAACACTTTGTGTGCTACCAAACGTCACAACGTAACTGGGTGATTATAAAGGTGCTCTATAGGTGTCTCCGAAGGTACTTGTTGGGTTGGCGTATTTCAAGATTAGGATTTGTCACTCCGATTGTCGGAGAGGTATCTCTGGGCCCTCTCGGTAATGCACATCACTCAAGCCTTGCAAGCATTGCAACTAATAAGTTGGTTGCAGGATGATGTATTATGGAACGAGTAAAGAGACTTGCCGGTAACGAGATTGAACTAGGTATTGAGATACCGACGATCGAATCTCGGGCAAGTAACATACCGATGACAAAAGGAACAACGTATGTTGTTATGCGGTCTGACCGATAAAAATCTTCGTAGAATATGTAGGAGCCAATATGAGCATCCAGGTTCCGCTATTGGTTATTGACCGGAGATGTGTCTCGGTCATGTCTACATAGTTCTTGAACCCGTAGGGTCCGCACGCTTAAAGTTCGGTGACGATCGTAATTAGGGTTTTTGTGTTTTGATGTACCGAAGGTTGTTCAGAGTCCCGGATGTGATCACGGACATGACGAGGAGTCTCGAAATGGTCGAGACATAAAGATTGATATATTGGAAGCCTATATTTAGATATCGAAAACGTTCCGGGTGAAATCGGGATTTTACCGGAGTACCGGGGGGTTATCGGAACCCCCCCCCCGGGGGTTATTGGGCCTACATGGGCCATAAGGGAGAAGAGGAGGGCCGACCAGGGCAGGCCGCGCGCCCCCTCCCCCCTAGTACGAATAGGACAAGGAAGGGGGGGTGGCGCCCCCCTTTCCTCTTTCTCCCTTCCTCCTTCCTTTTCCAACAAGGCAAGAGGGGGGAGTCCTACTCCCGGTTGGAGTAGGACTCCTCCAGGCGCACCCACAGGGCCGGCCGCACCTCCCCCTCTCCCTCCTTTATATACTGAGGCAAGGGGGCACCCCATGACACACAAGTTGATCCTTGTGATCGTTCCTTAGCCGTGTGCGGTGCCCCCTTCCACCATATTCACCTCGGTCATATCGAAGCGGTGCTTAGGCGAAGCCCTGCATCGGTAGAACATCATCACCGTCATCACGCCGTCGTGCTGACAAAACTCTCCCTCAACGTTTTGCTGGATCGGAACTCGAGGGACGTCACCGAGTTGAACGTGTGCAGAACTCGGAGGTGCCGTACGTTCGGTACTTGGATCCGTCGGATCGGGAAGACGTACGACTACTTCCTCTACGTTGTGTCAACACTTCCGTTGCCGGTCTACGAGGGTACGTAGACAACATTCTTCCCTCTCGTTGCTATGCATCACCATGATCTTGCGTGTGCGTAGGAAATTTTTTGAAATTACTACGTTCCCCAACAGAAATCACGCAACAAAGAATAACCGATCAACACACTCATCACGACATAATGGGCATTTAACATTTCCCTCCCAGACCCTCTTGGCTAGGTTACCTCTAGTGAGAGCATTGTTTCCAAGAATAATAGTGTTGAGAGGGGTGGGAAGATGGTGGTAGAACTTGGGAGGTGGGGGTTACAAGATTTTCAAGATCAACAAGTCATAGTTGGGAGAGGGAGAAGAGGATAAATGTGAAGGTTTGACACATGTATAATGAGTGCTAACTTCAGTTATAAAATTTTCTAGACAACACTACAAGATCATGGAAGGAACAACTAGACTTCTTACATGTAAAGAATATCCAAAATGTAACTCGGAAAGTTGTATACACAATTTCAAGAAACCGATTCACCATAGTTAAAATTATAGTTAATTAAGGACGACTCCAAGTGTAGTTGATGAGAATTTTACACGTCAATGATATTTATTCTACAAAAGGTATCCAAAGTGTAATAGGTGCCAAGTTTTACAGAGAATTACCAACAAGTGCAACGGATGTATCCATGGGA